TAATGGGGAGTTGTTTCAGGTGTCATGTTCTCCGCGTGCAGCGTGGGTTCTCTCTGGGTTCTCCGGCTTCCTCCCACACAGTCCAAAAACATGTTGAGGTTAATTGGTGATTCTAAATTATCCGTAGGTGTGAATGTGAGTGTGCTTGGTTGTCTGTCTCTAAGTGTAGCCCTGCGATGGACTGGTGACCTGTCCAGGGTGTCCCCTGCCTTCACCCTGAGTCAGCTGGGATAGACCTCAGCCCCCCTGTGACCCTTGTGAGGATTAAGCGGTGTATAGATAATGGATGGATGTTTACCATCACTCCACCATGGTATACCTCAGTAACCCTACTTCTTTGCACATATATTGCAAATGCTGCTATGTGTTACTTACTATTTTTTAAGGTTTTTTTTGGCCTTTTAGCTTTCAAGACAGAAGAAAAACATGCAGCAAATGAGCCATGGTCGGGACTCAAACCATGGCCGCTATATCAGCCCTGTATATGGGTCACCTGCTCAACCTGTTGAGCTACCAAGGACCTTATTTCATTTTCAAGTTTGCTGTGACTTCTAATATATGTATAGAAGAGAACTATATGTACTATATGTTGTAGATATATAGCTTCACATTTTAAAATATACTGATATTCACTTTCAATTTAATAAGAAAACCAACACTAATGTGAACATAACTTAGGCTGGAGGCAAGGGGAAAAGCTAGTCTCGCCAAATGACAAATAGCCAAATAACTAAATCTAAACAGGCTAGTTGTTTTTTCCTGTTGTACCCATTTCATGCCAAGGTAATTAAATCATTTCCTGGATTCAAGAAATGGCTTTTTGTCGAACTTGCAGCAAGACAGAAGAATGTTTACTTAAACATTCTGAGGCCTCAAATGTTCTAAACTCAACCCTTATAGTTCTATATTGTTCTTAATCCTGAATTAATCCTAAATTGCTAAACTGACAAATGCAAATTCTTCTTTCAAACCTAAACCCAGCTGCTAATCCTAAAGTATTCCATTAGAAGTAGGGAGCAAAATGTCCTCAGTCTGGAGGATTTCTTTTGACGTCTTGCTATAATGTTAGGTTACCAGAACAGACACTTCAAGCGTCCCTCCATCTGGTGACACATCAGTATTGAATCAAACACACCATCCCTGAACAATTCCCCTCGCTGTCTTACTTCTCACCACAAAGCTCTGGCATTGGTTCTGCAGTAACGAGCGACAAATGTGTTTAAAATTCCACATGAGAGGGGCTTTAAGGATGAGCGGCGGAGAAAAGTCTCTTTTTCCATTTAAAGTTTACTCTTTCAGAGGAATTATACTGGAATGAGGTATTGAGGCAGAATGTGCTGACTCCGTAAATGTGGTCAAACCGCGGATTGAAGCCCTGCTCAAAACAGACAGATCCTATTATTACAGGGGGAGAGGGGGTTTTCTGATAATACTGAGGCGGTTTGTTCATGTAACACAATCATTCTATAATCATTCGTGCTTAAAATGAAAAGTGTAGCATACGGCATCTGCACACTTGGTGTCAGTAGGAAACTGATGCTCTGTTGTTTTCCAGCAAATGCAAACTTTGGGATTTTTGCGTGACCTTATTTTTGGTTTTGCTGTTTATTTTGAAAGCAGAAAAAGTTTCCATCTCAGCAAGTGTGGCCGTTTTCAAGAATAAATCTTTAGGCAAATAGCAAAACTGCATGCCAAGCAACCCCATCTGAACCCGGTTCATGATGTCTTTTTGTGAAAATATTAAATTAAAATCAGTTTTTCAAAATCTTTATTTGGCTATTACTCGTCAAAGTGCTCCATGACAAAATTGCTGCAAAGTTATGACTAAACACTAATAACCAAATGCTAGCATGGTAACATACTAAACTAGAAAACTGTAAATACTACCTGGTAAACCTGTTCAATGTTACCCCATTAGCTTCTTCATTTTCCAGGCAATCCTAAATGCTTTAGGGGAAGGCAACAGGACTTTTGCCATTTTCCTCAGGCCCAGCTAATTGGTTTGGAGTCTTAGGAATTTATACTCACCTCCAAATCCCACGGCTCACCTCCCAGTAACAACCCAAGACTCCCATAACTCAAGCCCTGAGGGGTGGTAAAACTACCTGGGAAGGGATCTGAGTACTGCATTATAATTACCTGATAAGTGTTGTTGTAGACGTCCTCCTCTGTCTAAAGATGGAGGTTCCAGTGTAACATAGACAGCTTCCTTGACTTCTGTCTCAAGCCATGTGTCTTCTCTGTCCAGACCATGTACATTGCTGTACTCAAAGGAATGTTTCTTACCCTTCAGATGCAGGTAGACTGCTGAGTCTTGTTCTTAGGAGTTGGTTCACCCTCCATCTGGATTTCACACTGTGGACACTTCCATCCATCCATCCATCCATCCATCCATCCATCCATCCATCCATCCATCCATCCATCCAAACCTTCTCTAAAAGCAAAACTAATCTGCATAAATAAATTATACACCTATAGGTGGGCCCACTGCTGTTCCAATGAAATGTGACAAAAAGTAAAAAAAGAAAACTATAACTTATTATTTTGACTGACATTTAAGGTCATAAGGTCATTTTGGAGTGTCAGCGAGGCCTTAATTTTCCTTCCACCTGTCGTTTCTCTGTCTGAAAGTCCAAAAAATGTTCTTCTTTGACGCTGTCTAATGACAGATCTAATAAGAGAACTCAGTCCTTAAAGCACGACCTGACCCTGAACATGCACCGCACTATCTGTCTGTTAATGGCCGTTCTCTGATGCCAGCAAAGACAAGCTAATAGCAGGCAGACTGCAGAGTCTGGCGGAGATACGTTATTTTCCGGACGCCTCTGCAAAAGGTTATATGTAAAACTGCATCTCACACCACAACACAGCAATTCAACAACCAGTGTCAGCGCTTTACCGTTAGTGGGCATCACAGTAATTTTCTTCCCACTGTATCATTTCTGCTATTGTAATGATACAGGTTGCTTGGTACTGTGCAGATAGGGATATCTAAAAGAACTCTATGACCCAGTTCTTGCCGTAAACAACCAGTGAGGAGAGCGATCCTATAATTTAGCATTCCTCATGTGATGCTCCGTATCATTTATAATGTTTGCTTTAGGAGGACATTTCACACATTCAGTGCACATAACTGTGTAAGAATGTGAAAGTGTGGAACATTCAGAAACATGCTGGCAATATTTAAATGACATTCTGAGTCTTTTACAGCCTTGTTATGATCACTGATTCTAAATCTATTTGTCATTTTCCAAAGGGAGGATGTTCCAAAATGGCAGTTCCATTGTAATATATCTAGATATCACTTTCAGTAAGTAGTTTACGTTTGCAGACATCTTATGATGAAACTGACAATTACAAGGAAATAACATTTCATTGGAGCTGTATGGGGAAATTTCATTTGTGGCTGATGATGAATTTCCAGTTAAGGATGAATCTTTCAGTGTAGTCCTTACCGTAGCAGCATCCATTCAATGCAGACCGTGTGAAAGCAAAGTCTTCTCACTGGTAACAAGGAATGATGGAACAGCTGCATAGAAACCTGTTAAAACTTAAGAGGACCTCTTTGGGTCGCTTAAACATGCCAAATTGAAACTTTATTTTTTCATAACTGGCTGAATTTCTACGTTTTGAGCGCTTGTATTTGCCATAATGAGACTGAGTCACTCACAAAGGTGCAATTGGGAGCTAAAGGGGGCGTTTGGAGACAGACTTTTGCACCGACCATCTGCCCAATCCCAAATATAACTGTTCACATTAGAGCAGAATCCCCTGATGTCAACTGTGCAGTTTTCAGTTTACTGTACAGATTATTATGCGTGCAGGTGCATTTGTGTGCCCGCACAGTGAGGAGCCTTTTACAGCTAGCTTTTTACTTGCAATAAACATGCTACTTCCTGTGCTGCATCGTTATGAATTGCTTTTACCAGAACTGTTTGCAGACGCTCCTTTTCCCACTGTGCAGCAAGTTAATTACAGCTGAATCGTCATTTCTTCACTTGACCGTGACTTCCTGTAAAGCTCCTTTTTTTATTTCTTTACTGGCCTCTGTTTCTCCACTTAGTGAAACATTAGCGTGCCGCTCAATGGAGCCACAGCAGAGAAAATCTGCTCCTTTTTTGGTCAGGAGACAAATATTCGGCAGCAGTACATCTTTTTCGCTGTGGCTAGACATTGGCGAGAACACCGGTATTTTGTGATGACAAGAGTTATGTGAGGTTAGAGATGGAGAATCCTGCACTGGCATGAACTAACGTCTCACTGGACACCTCTGCTGCTCCTGGCTTTACTTGTTATCCATGGATCTAAGCCTAGGCTACAGAATAATCCTACCAGGTAACCCTTGGCTCAGGACACAGTGTTTATATGAGTATTTCTGATTGGAAATTTAATGAAATGGCTACAAGGATGCGCAAAATGATTCCAAATAGAACTAAAAAATGACCACAAACAGATGAAAAATGACTTCAGGAATATAAAAAAGCCACAAATGGACCACGCGGAGATGCAAGATTGCCACAAAGTCATGCAAACCAACAACAAAATGCCATTATTGCCACGAACCAAGGCTATTAATCCATTCTAAGGCTGAGATTTCCGCAGCCTCTTCTCAGAATTCTCTCCTGTGGTCATTTCCAAACATCTCATTTCAGGATTAAATGTACAGATTGTTAGAAAAGATGCAGCTGTGGCATCGCTAATAACTAGCTGACAAAATAAGGGGAGGGGAAAAAAAAGACAAGAAGAAGCTATATGTCCCGATTCTAACTAAGGAGATGGCCAGTTTTGTCTTTGCAGCCCTTTGCATTCCTTGCATAATAATACCCTGTTGTCAAGGAGGGAGGAAGGAAGGAGGGAGGAAGCAGAGGGGAGGAAACTGTGCTGGGAGAAAAAGCAACTGCTGATCCAGACAGTGTGAAGTTAAATGCTCTGGATTTTGGACACCAACCAAGAGGGAGGAGGCAGGATTGTACTTTGAGAGGTACATTCAGTGTATTTGAGATTTTGGAGACTTTTTGTGCGTATTTTACGCATCTTGCCAGTGGATGACAGCGAAATAAACAGCTGTTGGATCGATATTGCCACATCGATTTCTGCGGGGGCGTTATCTCTGACTTTAAAGTCTGTGTGTTTTTTCTTCCCCCCCAAAGTCATGCCACGTTTGAGATTACGCCTGTGATGGGCTGATCCTCCTCTTGTTTTTACGCTCAGCTGCTGCGACGAGAGCTCAGAGAGGGCTGAGCCGAAAAGTTACCGAAGTTGCCTTCCCTCGTTTGCTTGGTTTCTTCTTCTTTTCTTTTTTTTTAATTCTCACATTTCTCCCCCTCCTGAAAAGCTTCCAGTCCTGTTGTCCGCCCCAGCATGCCCGGCTGACGCCTGACAGGAATGGCATCGGCTGTGTTTGAAGGGACGTCGCTGGTCAACATGTTCGTCCGGGACTGCTGGGTGAACGGCATCAGGAGGCTCATCATCAGCCAGCGCGGGGAGGAAGAGGAGTTCTTCGAGATCAGGACTGAGTGGTCCGACAGGAACATTTTATACTTGCATCGGAGTTATTCAGACCTGGGGAGGCTGTTTAAAAGACTGCTGGAGTCCTTCCCTGAGGACAGAAGAGACCTCTCCAAGTCTCCAATGATAGAAGGTGGGTCAAATGGGTAATAACACGTAGTAATACTGGATCACAGACAATCCAGCTGTTAATACTGGATATCATGAAGGGATTATTTCTGATCAGGGGCGTAGATACTGACATATTAAGGTGCCATTTGCTCAGGAGGTCATTCTACTTTCTCCTCGGCTGCACAACTATTTTTTCTAGAGCTGGAATTATTAATTTATCTATGTGCAGTGAAAATATCCACAAATATTTCTAATTACTTTGTTTTTGTTTGGCCAAAGCTTCACAAATATCAAATATAAAGCAAAGAAAAGGAGGAAATCCAATTGAAAAGCAAATATTTCGCATTTTTTGCCTATCAAAAGACATAAATGAGTAAATTTTTAGCTAAATTGTTGTTGGATTGTGCTGTTAATTGACTTATTGTACAAAAAATAAGATAAACTTCATTGATCACTTAATAGGGAAATTCACAAGTCACAGCAGCGACTTAAGAATAAAGTGAAGACAAGAAATACAAAAGTAGAATACAGATAAGAATTAAGAGAATAATAGACTCTGGCATGATGGGTGGTGTGTAGAATTGTATGTAATAGTTATCAAGATAAATTGTTATTGCACTTAAAAAGTTATGAAGACAAAACAAGTGTACAATATGAATAATCTTAGTTAATCTATAAAGTGCTTCTCCACTTTGCTGCATCATAAATTATTGTATCATGACTTTTTACGTATTTGAAAGCTCAGGTTTTGTATCTTTCTCTGTGTCTCTGATGAATTTCTCCACTGTAGGGGATTCTGCAGAGGAAATCTTTGCTTTTCCCTGCACAGGAACATCCCCGGAAAATTGTATTCCTGTTTACATTCAGCCTCAGATAGCACAGCAGCTGTTGTTTGGTGCTTTAGTGCATTTTTGTGGATTAAAGTCAGACCATGTTGGCAGAACAGCTGCATGGAGTAGAAGTTTAAAACATTTCAAAACAGTAAATTTGAACTACTGAGGAACTTCATTTAAAATCTGGGCCTTCAGCTTTGGGTCCAATCAGACCATAGTGAAACTAAAATTACTGAGCTTATGAACGAAAACACACTCGATGTAGTCAGTGAGGGTTTGGGGCTAATCTGACCTGCTTTGTTTCAAAGCCTACATTTACAGGAGTTTGTTTGGACAGGTTAATAATTCACAAAATCCCCTTTAGGATGTCACATTAGCAGACCTATCACATAGCCTGTGGACCACAGGACCAGCATGCTGACAGCAGGTTTCCAGTCCTTGTCAATATTTAGACCTCAAAGACTGACCTGTAAGGCCCTTAGGTCTCATGTTGTCATGGCCAAAGAGTAGGATTCCCTGTGAGGGAAATACTTAAAGGAACAACACAGGCTTGAATGTGGAAATCTGCTCTTTATATGTGATGCATCACAACTCCATATACTGGTGGAGTGGACTACTGTGGAAACTCTCTCTGGAGCACTAGGAAAAAAACACAAAACCCACTGAGGCCAGTTTTTAAATCAAAGCAATGACACAAGCATTTCTATGCCTTATCAATCAGACTTTATTTGTTTAGCGTCTTTCAATCAGCTTAGTGCATTTCAAAGTGCTTCACAGAAGGTTATATTTTAGGGATAAATTCAGCATAGAAATGAGGCCCTTTATGCTTTCCTCTCATCTGCGCTGCTATTTTGTCTGTAGCTGCATTTAATGATTGATTTTACCGCTGATCATCTATTTGCTCGCCAGAAACAGTTTCCGTCAAACTATAAATTTGTTCTTTGTCTGGCCAAATATTCACTTTACGGTGAAATAAAAACTGAGAAAAGAAGCCAAAGCACGCAGAGTCCATTTTACTGTGTTATTAAATGCATGTCCTTGGTGTGGAGGGGGAGAACCACTCTGGGAGGACGTCCAGATTCTGCACAGAAAAGACCAGCGCTCTGACATAAACGTATCTACATGCAAACCGTCACATCAGATGTTGTCACTGCACCTCTTTCGGGATTAAATGCTGTGTTTTAGGTTTGCATCAAAGGTATTGCTCACTGCTATTCTGCGTCCTGACATGGATACATGCACATACAAAGTTCATGTCTCTCCAATTCTGGTGATTTCAGTCAAATCTTTTGGGATTCTTTAGTTGCATAAACAGTCATTAGACTAGCTGAAAATTTCATTAGCACAAATTTGAGCACAGGTTTGTTTTGCTTTGCTCACAAAAATCAGGTTAAGATATCTAATTATTCGTACTCGTGTATCCCACAAATTGTCATCAACCACCAATGAAAAATAGTAGGAAAATTAACAGGCTATAACTTGCAAAGCCTCTGCAAAAATTCCTCATTAAAACTGGCATTAAAGTTGCATGCAGTACTTAGTAGAGGGCGGTGTTTTGCCATCTGTAGGTTGACCCTATAGCCCTCAGGGTTTGCATCTCACATTGTGGTACCGTTGTATTGCCACAGCTTTGGCAGAACTCCCAGCTTGTTCTGTGTTTATGATCTCTCCACAGCCTCCTTGGCACTTCCCCTTTGTCTCGACCCACTGAGCCTATACAAATGTTTTGGAAACATCCCTTTAGTGGCGACTGGAAAGCTTTGCTTCCTGCCCAGGCACCGAAATAGCTGACAGAGTTGTTGACAGCTTCGCCGCTGCTATGCTGCGTTGTGCAGTACGTTTTGGGAAGAGACGTCGCCGATCTCATGACTCACTTTTCACTTCTTTATTCTGTCTGTCAAGCTTCACACCTGATTACGACTGAATGATAAATGTTGCCGTGGTATCAGTGCTGAAGCAGACATCAGTGTTACCTTAGCTGGTTGAGCCTTTCATTGATGGATAGCGAACCACAGGTTAATAACATTCCTCTAATGGCCTTTTACCTAATTCCTGCCCTCTGTTCAATATTTCATTTGCATCCCCTCTAATTGCACACTCAGATTGAGAGTCCTGAGAAGAAAAACACCGTCCTTCTCTGTCTACTTTGCTCCGGTTTCTGGCTCTGGCCATGTTTTCCTGTTTCTCTGCTGCGCCTAGGCAACAACGAAGGCGTGCAGAGCTTTACAGACTGATGTCATGATGAGAAAGAGGGTGACTGAGAGAGGAGTGGACTTGCCATATTTAGTCCCGCTGGTTAGTTAAGGCCTCATCGCACTTACCTTACATGTGACCCCCGGAGTGAAGACAGACGGGAAGTGATTGCTCACATTCCATGTGAAGTAGATATCATCCAGGAATGTAGACTGACTCCTACGTCAACTCGGTCACTACTCCCTACTAAAGAAATACTCAGCAGTTTATTAGTGTAGCGCAGCATGAGCAGCATTCTTCTTTCTATTTTGGACATTTTTAGAGAACTATGTCTGAGATTATCTATTCAGCATTCCGCATATAATATTTTACAAACTCCATAGTTCACCATGTAGTTGGCAGTAAATTTAGATTTTAGGGGAATCGCCATCATTTTTGTGCCTATAAAATGTGACACTGGGTTGTGAGATTGGAGTGCACATATTTCTTGCTAAGAATTTGGACACGCACATAAATCAACAGACAGTAAATATATAGGTCACTTCATAGTTAATGGGGAATAAACAGGAGCACAGTGCAGCAATGGATGAGTTGAAAAGCTGCAGAATATACAGCCTGACAGCATCAAACAGACTCCCATACACTGTAGAAGTTGCAGTAAAACATGCATTCGTGACATTTTGATGCTCCAGAAATGGTTTGTTGCAAAGAGGAGCTATTTTTTCTCGCCTGAAATGTCATGAATACCTATATTTTTGCAAGCTAGAGTTTGTTCCAAACTTTTTGATTTGCCTTATGAAACAGTGTGCAAAGAGTTCCTTTTTTATTCTTATCATGGCAGCTGAAAATGACTGAGTGACAGGTACATGTAACACTTGATATGAATTTGTGGTGGAGAGTTCGATGGGAAGGTTGATATCATTCACATCGGTCTGTTAAATATAAAACTATATCCAGCAGCCAGTTAGCTTAGCATAGCACAAAGACTCCAAACAGAGGGAAACAGCTTACTGCTTGTTCCAAATTTTTATAAATGCATCTCTAAAGCTGACAAATAAACTGCTTGTAATGTGATGTGTAAAAAGCACATGTTGTGGTTTTACACTACAGGGAGTTACAGCACTGATCAGTGATCTCAGAGGTGCTGGTTGGCACAAATGATCTGACATCCACACCTACTTTTCTCTCCGGTTGGTTAGCTTTTGCAGAAGTGAGAAAAAGAATTCAGAGCTTGAACTGTCGCCCTTTTCAGCATGAACTATACAGATGTTTCTGTCCCTTTTTATGTGAACAACAATGAATGTCTTCCAGCAGAAACTTTCTAAAGATATGCATTGATGTCCTCATATTTAAACAACATTATTCCTCAAATCTCCACTGAATATAACCTGATCTTAAGTCTGCATGAGAGGAAATTGGCTAAAATGTTGCAGTCTTCCTTTAAAGTATCGCTAAGGGCAGCGGCAGTATGGCTCAGCTGGAGGGGTTTGAGCAGCTGCATAATAGGAAACCATGTAACTGTTACCATGCAAGTTTCAGTGTTTGTTATAGAAGTACTAGAATGACTAATGTTTTAGGTAAAATCCCATGGTACAAATAACATCGATTTTATATTTACGATTGAATTGAAAAATTCCATAAAAAATTCATAAACTCGACGTGCACGATGTCGAGATCATGTAAAGGTCGATTTTATATACCTGCACACTGACTACAAAGATGTTTATCACGTAGCGGCTACGGACAAACATGATTTCTGACATTCTATTCCTGACGACGTGCGCCGCTTGTTGTTGACTAAGCAACCCAGAAATAGCACGTTGACCAAACTGCGGCGAGTTAGCGGTTGGATGATTAAGTGTTGTGTCGTTGACATGAACTTATCAGATCCTTGCAGAGGATAGCTGCGAAATGTGGCGCTTACAACATCTGATGACTGTTTGAGATAATTCGCTTGAGGAACATGTGGACACAGTCGAATTCCTGTTTAACACTTACTGTCTTATTCCAGCTGATATAGTCGATGAAGTGTCTTGTAAACATGGCATGAAGCCCCAGACTAATTATGGTGTCTAAGCACGCGTTGCATTTTACTATCATGTAGCTCCATAAATGCAGTCACATGCCTTTCTTAGGAAATGGAGATAATAAAGCTATTAAAAGCGGCTAGAAGCACTTCTTGCCAAAATAGTTTCACGGAAGGATAGTCCGCTCTGAAGCCAACCAAACTGACTGAGTAATGTTGGAGAGACGACAGTGTTGCATAATTACTTATAACACAAAGATCACTGTAGCCAGGAAGCTGGAAATAGACCCTTCAGCATGAAATAGGAGGAAATACTCTTTGGGATTGTTTAAAGAAAAGTATAGCTGTTTTTTATGTCACTGTTTTTGAAGATATTCTGGGGAGGACAACCCTGTGATTGAAATAAACAGAGAAACCGGAGTAAATAGACACAGAAATATATATTTGAATGACTCTGACATGGCTTGGTTTTCTGCGTGCACTGCTTTTGATGTTCTCCTGAGACATTTTGCTTTTCCTTCCACCCGGCCTGCACTGTATTTCAGTGATTTGTGGTGTGCTGCAGTGGGAGTAGAGGTGCTATAGGAGGAGTGTCACCGGGAATCCAGCGCAGCACTGCAATTTAGGATGTCAAGCCTGTTGTGTTTACGTAACCTCTGAAACAAATTAGTGGAGGTGTTGCATGTACACTTCTAAAAATAAAATCATCTTAAAATCAAAATACTTATTTATGTTTCGTTCCTAGAATAGTTTTAGTGTGATAATGGCAGTGGTGCCTTTATACCAGAAATAATCGGCACACAGAACATGCTGATTTGAAGCCTTCCCTTTTGTCTGATCAACATCGCCTCGTGACAGCGGCCATTTGTTGAATCTGCACTCTTAACGGACACATCATCAAACTACACACAGCACATTTACTGTGGTTAACCTGATTAAATCTTGTGCAACAGCAGTATGTCTCAGCAGCTGCTACAAAAAGCCTCACACTTCTCTTTTGCACATCAAACAGGCCCTCTATACTAAAACTTGGTTTTACGCAGTTTTCTAGTTTATATAGTAAAAATCCCCTCATCACTACTGCAG